CCCGGGCCAGCGCCGACCGGGAGCCAGATGAGCCTGGGGTCAGCCCTGCAGCAGGGCATCTGCTGTGAGTCAAAGGGGCCGGCGCGCATCTCCTGCCCTTGCCCCACATGCTTTCCCCCCCACTCGGTGTTCGGGCTGCTGTGAAACCTGTGCCGCCGGCAGCGGGAGATGCTGCTTTTGCATATTCTGAATAGCAGTGAAGAGTTCAAACAGAAACAGCAATTTCAAGGCTTTTACTCGCAGGGGAGACGAGCGCATCTGTGCCGTTTCGTGGCGGGAGCTCGCCTGCGGAGAGCTCCCGCTAGCGCGGGGGGTGTCTGCCCGCTGTCTGACGCCTGTCGGAGTGCTGGGGTCTTGGAGATGCTGACTGATGTCCCAACTGCTCGTTGCATTCATGTTTGAGCGCCTTTAGGGTATGTCACTGAGCTGCTGCGTTAAGTACAGAGAAAATCACAGTAAGAAATGCTCTGCCTGGAGGAGGCAGAGGATGGGAGAAGAGGCATGTTTTCACCCTGTGCTTTGGGATTCTGGGGAGATAAAGGGATCTGCCCAGGACCTGGGAGACCATGTGGCAAAAGCAAGAAGTTCAGTCTCTCTGACTGGGATGTCCTCAAGTGGTCAAGCCTTCCCAGGAGTCGGTGCCAGCCGGCCAGGCAAGGGCAAATCTGATTTCTCCTTGTGCTTCAGGCAACTGTCGCCTGCCCACAATTTCTGGGAGAAGTGAGTTACCCAAGGAGCGTCCGAAACCAACCTCGAAACTCTGCCAAATTCTTGAGGGGAAGCAAGCTGAGCCTTTGCCAAAACCCCCAAGTTCTTGGAGTTTTCCTTAGCAAGAGTGTGTCACCCAAACCACCTCCTCCCACACTGGTGGGCAATTCCCTTTAGCCCGGTCCTGCGCTGGGAGGAGAGCCCTAAGCCGGGTGTTTGCCCTGGGGCTTCTCTGGGAGCGCTGGAAAGGGAGCTGCTCCGTAGGGTGAAGCGGGGCTGGTCGCGAGACGGGGGTCTGCAGCCGGGAGCTGGCTCTCCCTCCTCGGCCCCACGACAGGTTTCTGCTGGCTCCCCCAGGGAGCTGCTGTGATCGGGACCGGAGCGGGAACGTGGAGATGGTGCCGCTGGCTCGCCGTTCCCTCCCGGTGTGTTTAATTGCCTGATTTCCCTTTTAGGACTCGGAGACAAGGGAGAAGACGCGGGCAGAAGGAGGCAGATGTAGGGAGAGCAGAAGCCCAGGTGACAGATTGAAGGATGCTATAAACACAATCGGCTGCCTGATGGATTGATAGATTAGACAGGGAATATAAATAGCAAGCATCATTTCTCTCTCCCGGTTTTATTTTCCTCCTGCTTATCTCTTTTATCTGTCTAACCCGAGGATGGAGGGGGGGCACGGCCCGCTGACAGCAACCGGGTAGATGAGCTTGGGTTGCCATGGCTCGTGCAGCGTTCAAGCGGGCAAGTTTTCCCAGCCGGGGAGGATGCACACTGATATACTTTTTTTTTCCCCCTCCTTTCTCTCCTTTTCCCTGCATCCTGACCAGCTTCTCTGCCCCCGCCGCTGCTTTAATGGTGCCGC